GCTGCGCTGCCATCTGAAGGGCGAAGGTACGTGGAGGTGGAGGCAGAGGCGGGGGTTAAGGGGATGTTGTCAAGGCAGCCGGAACCAGGAGCAACCCCCCGAGAGCGTGCCGGGCTGTCCGTACCCCGCCCGTGGCACATCGCGCTGCCCTTCCTGCGCGCCGCGGGGCTGCCCTGCCCTGCCCGACAGCTCTGGGACAGCACTGCCACCGGCCAAACTTTTGAGCCTGCTTAATTGAAAGTAAAAGCTCGGTTCTATGAATAAGTTTGAAAATACCAGGCAGGTATCTCTGCCGGCTGAGTGGATTTCCGTATAGAGTGAGAGGCAGCAACACCGGGTCTGCAAAGCTGGAGGCAGTATGTGCATGCCAGTCTGCTGTGAGGAAATTCCTTTTTGGGAAAGAAAAGGGACCCACCAGGCTTTTCCAAGATCTTCAATGGCTCCTTTCCACAACTGAGCTTGATTAAAAATTATACTACAAAATGCTGTTTTCTCAGTCGTTGCTGATTCATTAAAGCACCTGTTGTTGATCTGATTATGCACAAACCTGCTGCAAAAAGTGAACGTGCAGAAATCGGATGCACAAACCTCTGGCAAATGCCTCCCACAATCACTGGACAGGCACAAACGCGCTGCATCAACCTGCTTCACAGCTGGAATACTCAAAACAAGCAGCTCAGCCCTAACACCAATATTTGGCATTTCTTCCCCTGTTTCTGAAATACAGAACTACTGCTCACAAAGATAAGCACAGACTATTTTTCTCTCAAGGGCTCTACCAATTGGATTCTCTGCTGCCATGAACAACCTGCAACAGATCCGTCCCTTCCTGTTCCCTCAGTCACATCCAAGAGGAGAGCTACTGCTGCTAAAAGCAATCCCAGGCACCTTGCCTCTGCATTTCATTCAGTCTCACCTTTTGCAGTGACTGTGTGCTGTTTCTCGTACTTCTCCTCTCCTGAGCTTTTCTTTGGGGAAGTGAAAAAGACCTATAATTAGAATGGCAGTACAGTGTCAGCTACTGGTATCTCAGGTGTAGTGATTTCTTCAGACAGATATGGACTATCCAGAAGAATGTGACAGATTCATTGCAAGGTTTATTGGGGGGGTGGGGGTGGTGGTGTTTAGAGAATGCTGGTGAAGGATAGCTGGCTGAGAATGTGAAAGCAGGCAGTATTTTGCCCACAAAAAAGAGCATTTGCAAAATGAGAGTTGTCCATAGAAGAGGAAGAAAAGAGAACAGCTAAATAAAACCAGACATCATAAAAGCTAAAGACTTAAACAATTAATAGTTAAGATCTCATAGGAAGGAAGTCTAAAGAAATGAGTTTAAGCAAAGGAACAATGCTTTAGAAAAATAATTCAAAGGGTGCAGTTATCCCAATTATGAGTAGAATAGAAATAATAGTAAGGTTAGCTCAACCACATCATGAGGTCTCTGTTGAAGAAAATAAAAAGGAAGACATGTCAGATTACTAAGAATAAGAATAAAAAAAGGTGTGCAGCAAAACAATTGAACTATCAAGAGCTATCAGCTAAAAACTGCTCTGGAAGTATATTCATACTAAAAGGAAGACAGAGAAAAATATTAATCCTCTACTCAACGGAGAAGAAAATCTGTCGAAATTATAAAGAAAGCTGAAGTGGTTGGTGCCTTTGTTGTATCAGACTTCCAAAAAAGATCAAGATAGTTATGACTGGTGATGCCAAGAAAAAAATTATTTTAGCCCAGAGTAGGTAAAAAACAGATTAGGAGAACTCAGATAAACCAAATTGTTTCAAATTGTTTGAGTGTAGTAAACACAACTGCAAGACCTGACTGAATTAAGAAGGTAAATGAGATACTGAAAAAACAGAAGAGACAGCTGTAAATTGCTGTTCTCAGAGGGGGGATGGACCCAGAGAAATACAGCTTGATCAGTGTAACTAACTTAAATCCCTGGAAAAATCTGGGGACAAATAATCTCACAAACTATTATTAGCACCTAGATGATAGCCAGGGAATGACAGCAGTCAACATGGATATGTCAAAAATAAATCACACCAGATAAATTCATTTTCTTCTCCAGTAAGGAACTGTCCTTGTGGATAGGATGGAGCCTGTTGTCAGTTTGATTAGGTTTTTGACACTTACATGACATTTTCATTAAAAAGTTAGAGAAATATGGTCTGGATAAATGTATTATAAGATCTATAAAAACTGACTGGATAGCAAGCAGTAGTTCACTGTCAAAAGGAAAGAATATATTGCTGGGTTCCTAGAGCCTGTCTTCAGTCTGGGTCTTTTTGTTACTGTTATTAACAATAATGTAACAGAGAACATACCTACTAATTTTGCAGGTGACAGAAAGCTGAGGGGGACAGAACTAAATTTTAAAAGTCTTGACCATTCATAAGCATGCTTTTTCAAAAAAGTGAAGAAGGTATTCAGTAAGATTGAGTTGCATCATAATTCAGCATATTATACTGACATATAGTGTGCTGAAATCATCACTGTCTTTCCCTTCCCCTTGCTACTCATTTTCTCTCATGCTGTCTTATGCCAGCATAAGCTCTTCTGAGGCCATGTGTTTGACTGTATGAGGAAGCTGATTAACATTACAGTTCTAATTCCAGAGGTAGTTGAAGCACTTTGCTGATCTATTTGATCATACTTTGGGTCATGGCGATGGGTGAGGCGATCTGCTGATTTCTTGTTTGTGCTTTTCCACTCACTAGAAAGAAGAAACATAGTTGGTATAAAACTGGTCTTTCAGGTATGATTCATATGTATTTGCAACAGCATAGTATTGTTAATTCATATTCAGATTGTGATCCACTGTAACACCAAAAAATCTGTTTTTCTGATCTTGATCTGCTGGGTGGTTTAGGCACAGTTCCTTCATTCTCTCTGTTTAAGTTTCTTCAGCTTCTTTTAAGAGCACTCTGGAATCTGTCAATAAAAATGTAGTAGTATTGACGGAATGCTAAGCCATTGCTCTTTTCTGTTTGTTAACCATTTCTTCTCATCCTTTCACTAAGTAATTCAGGCTCTTACTAAGATCCATTGTAAATATATATACCTTCTATGTCAATAGAAATTGTTCTTCAAAAGCGAAAAATTCCTGTAACTAAAATGTTTGCACAAGAGTCTGAGGCTTTTTCTTCTATCTACATGAGATTTATTTTTCAGTCTGTGGCTTCTTGAAATATAAAAATGGTGAAATCCATGAAGAAATGCCAGGTCCCTGAGTGTGCTAGTAGTCTTTAACAATCTGGAGCAGCCTTGTGTAGGGCTCCTACTCACAGATCATCTGCCTGGGAGTTCCAGGTTCGCTCTGGCCCAGTCCCAGTCCTCACCCAAGCTGTGCAGTAGCCAGACCTCTGTCCTCAGCTCTGTCATTCGCTGTTCTTGATTTGTTGACTGGGCTTCCCAGACTGGCATTGGACCTGATTTGTCACCCCTCATTTAATGATCACTGGACTCTCAACAGAAGCTGTCACCATCTCCAGCCCTGTTCTGCTCGCCTGGCTTGGTGCTGTGGGACTGTGCCCTTGTTGGCAAGGTCACTGCTCCTGCCCGTGTGTGGTCGCCCTTGGCTCCTGGCTTGCCTGCCTGGGTGGAGCAGCCCCACTTGCTGCTCCCTGACAATGTATGAAATTCAAAGTCAGCTTATGTAACATTGCTCCCTCTGTAAAATAAAAGTCTGCATCTTGTCTCTCCCTAATGTGTCATTTGCAAATTCCATCTTAAGTAATCCTGGAAGTAAAGGCAAGGCCTGAAGTTTTGTATGTGGTAGGTATCATCAATAAGCATCAGAAATTGAACTTCAAAACAGAGGGACTAAAAGACCTTAAATCTTATTCAAAAAAGCATTTAAGCACATGCTTAGCTTAAGCCTGTCCTCAAATCCTTTGAATTTAAGTATATAAACTGAGACCTTTCCTCAACATCAAGCTATATTGCTGTACTTTAGAAATACAATTCTACGTATCAGTATATAGTTACACCTGTGGATTTACTAGAAACTGTGCATCCTTATTGTATAGGTGTTTAGGTGTTGTTAAAAATAAAAGAAAAAACCCACAAACAAAATGAACAACAAAGTAAAATAGTATTTTAAGTCTTGAAATGCCTCTTGCAAAACATATTCACATGTATAGCTGAAGACATCAGCAGAGTTACTTTAAGAGTGAAGCTGTAATTTATCATGCACTCTTATGCACAAAGTAATAAACCAGATCCTAATGATTAGGAGTTTATCAGAGTCTTCTAGCTGATGGAAAATTAGATTGTTTGAAGTGTCAGGGTGAGTGATTAATCTTTTATTTATAATTCATAATGTATTATGCAAAAACATTAGGAAAAAAATCCACTGTATTGTGGGTACTAATGTAAAATTTAAAAAAAATAAACCTAGAGGAACTGTCATTTTAATAATGGTTGGAGCTGGGTGCAATTGTCAGATCTCTGAGCACATTCCCCATGTTGTCCTCTAACACCTGTTTGTTGTTTAGGAGCTGATGCATCTCTTCAAACCATAAGGAAAAGAGGTTTTACTCCTATTTCTTGAAAGAAACCTAAAGCGTAAAGCCATTGTGTCTTGTCTAATTTCACATAGTCTGTGGCAAGCAGGCCTGAACCAAAAAAACCTTCCTACCTCATTATATCTGTAACTCTTCCATTTTATCCTCTCTTCCATGTCCTCTTTTCATCTCCCACCTTTACTAGACATTTCTTGGTC